ATTCACTTTCAATCAGATTTATTACAGAACTTCCTCATATTGACTGAAAGTGGATAATATGTAGTTAACTCTACCCTCTAATTTGGTGAGGGGGAGATAGACATAAATTCTGTGAAAACAGAAATCTTACCTTGTTCATTGTTGTATCCCCTTAGTTGTTAGTACAGTACAGTACATGTTTGTTGAATCAAATTCAGGGCCTCACAATTTGAGGATGTTGTATAACCAAGCAAGAAAACTGAGTGCATATGCAGGAATTGTTTTTTGATGCACCCTATCTGGTCATCATGGCCTCGATGAAAGAAAAAGAAGACAAGCCAGTATTGTGATGGAATTGTTTCCACGTCCTACAACCCAACACCATCTTGAATTCTGTTTCTTGTTTAGCTGCAAGGACAGACACAACCAGTCAGTTAAAAGTTAAGGTCAAATACATTGCAAATGACTCCTATATGGAAAAAAAAAAGGAATTGATCTTAGTGGTCTTCTCACCATGTCCCCTGATAACTTTCACCAAGCGGATCATTGTATCTCCACCAGTAGGGCTCAACAGGAAATGGCAGTCAGGGAGGCAGCCAGGGAGAATGTGCTGGACATGTGCACCCTCCCCGAGGCGGAATTAAAGCAACACAGTCAGGTGTCTTTTTTACCTCTCCCACCTTTCTACCTTTTCTTCAGAGAGATCTCTTCCTAAATGTAGAGGTACAAGTAAAGGAAAGAATTGCTTTGAGGAGCCAAGGAGTGTTTCCATAGAAAAGTAAAAGTGTTCCAAAATGACGGCAGGTCCTAGCCAGAAGAAATGCATTGTAATTCATCAAGAAACCTTGCTACTTTGGGCATATTTGTTATAAATGTCATTATTTGAACTGTATTGCAACAGTCAGCAACTTATAAAGCTGGAGGAATATAGAGACATCTGTAATGCTGTAGAAATGTTACAAAAAGGGTGAAAATGTACATTTTAAGAAGTTCACAAATATTCAGTGTTCAGAATTTAATGGAGTGTTGATAATCCTGTTACCAGTAGAGCTCTGGCTGTCGAATGCATTGAACTGCTTGGCGATAGTCAAACGGGTACTCACACGGGATGGCATGCATGGTGTACTTGGTGAAAATGCTGCTTATTTAAAGTGTGAGAGTAGCCATTATGTTCGAGTACAAAGTTTAAATTCTCTCAGTAAATTTAATCTAGAAAGAATAAAATGTCAATTTTTTAAGTTTTAGTAGGACAGGGTACTCTCAGAATTGTTTCTTAAGATAGTGTCAAAAGTAAAAGCTGGTATTGACATAATCACATGTAAACAGAGCTAAGTTTTGAGGTTTCTGTAATTCTTTTCCATTATTGCATACTTGTGGCTAAGGCTATGATGACTTTATAAACTCCTCAAGCTTTCAGCTATTTCAGAAGTTTCTATTGAACTCTGTATTCAGTTGTGTGTCTCTGTGTGTGCTATTTCTATTCAGAAAAATTGAAAATGAAAAAGAACTCAAATCATTGTATTATTGCTGCTAGCATGACATCAGAGGTAAGATTTTAGTTCCTTGTCAGCTAGTGTCAGTGTGAACCTGGACACCTTTTCTAACCTCTCCAACATACTTTTTCCTAATCTGGTTATGAGAGTCATGATTCCCTAATTCATAGAATGGTTGTGAGGATTCAGTAAACAATATACTAAAGTATATAGGAAAAATAAGTTTCTCTTCTGTGATAAGCACAACTAAACTTTGTTGTCTCTCCCTCTGAAAAATGCATGATATAAACATATACAAGTATGTTGAAATAATATAATCCAATATAGATAAAGCCCACATTTATGGGAAGCCTAGAATCTCTTAGCTGGAGAGAATCTTAAAGATAATATGGTTCATTAATTCTTAGCATTTATTTGGTTTACAGACCACTTTGAAAATATGACAGTTGTAACCTATATCTCCCCAAAATGCAAAAATTAGCATATAACTTTAAGGTGTCAAGGATGCCCTAAAACCTATTCCTAACCCCCTGAGTTAAGAATCCTCTATTTAATTCAACACTCTCAACCTAACCATGGAGAAAATCAGAAATATAAGAGATATGCTCTGAGAATTAAAAATTGATTTGAAAACACTTTTCCAAAAAAAGTTTCTAAGAATTTGAGAATGCAGCATTCATCACTTACTTGATCCATATTCTCAGACTGCAGCTACATTTCACTGGAGGACTTGCTGTCTAGTCTACCCTTGGCATGTTAGTGACAGAAGAGCTATTTGCAAAGTTAAATGGAATAATTTAGGTATTAATTTTATTTTTAACATGCCTTACCCAAAAAGTTTACTAGTGCATTCTCAGTAAACATTCCTTAAGTACCCTTCAGGGTCCAAAGCCTATTTAAGATATTGTGAGCACAGGATAATGAGATCCAGTTTCTGAGCCTATAATAGAGAACTCAGGATGAGGAGCAAAGCATTCAGCTTCAGAACTTTGAGAAGGCCCCACAGATAAGGTAGCATTAAAGTTGGGTCTTTGATAATAAGTAAAAGTTTTACTGTCAGAAGAGCTAAATATCCTAACTCCCTGTGCATGCAGATTTTACAATTATTATTAATCATGTATGGTAATTGATCCTAAAATAGTATATGGGATGGTATATTGAAGACCCATTTCCTGGTTTCATTCACGATGTATTTATCATTCTCTAAGCCATGTAGCCTCCAAACGTGAAGGTCATTCTCTTCTCTGGACTGCAATTTCTAGTTACTCACAAAGGCTTGCCAATTCTTTCTTCAAAACATCCCTGCACATTTCTCTTTTCTGTTCCCACTACCATCTCCCCACAAATCTCCCAATGACTAGAACAGACCTTCAGGACCACGTCACACAGCCTCACCAAGTCTTTCATGTTCTACACAACCACCAGACACATTTTCCTAAAATCAGTTTATTCTGATGCCCTGCTTAGAAACATTTGCCCCAAGTTATCTGTAGGAATGTGGTTATCCAGTCTGCTTACTGTTTTACTTAAAGCCTGCCACAGTCGCCCTCAGGCTCACCACCATTTCCCAGCTGGGCCAGGCATGTACCACACGGAGATGATAAGAGCCCACATTAAGTTCAGGTCTCACCTTCCCCTCTTACAGCTATTGCATTTTATCTCTCCAAGCTTGTTTCCTTACCTCTGAGTTTTATGGATACAAAAACAAACGACTTAAAGCTATTTAAAAAATTAGTGTGTTAACACCTGGGAAGTTCCTGGTGGTGTGCCTGACACAATAATTGGTTCTCAATAAACGGTAACATTTGTACCCATTGTCCTCATCACCTTCTTCTGAAAGGCATCACATCACTGTCATATGAACATTTCTAGAAACCTCTCTTTTGACCGCAGTCGGTCATTCTTTAGGACCTGCTTCAGGTCCTGCTTACCTTCCCACTGATTCTTTCCCTAAATGTACCTGCTCTGGGCACTCTCACATTTCTGTATCACCACTGTGTTTGCTTTACATTGTTTTCAAACTTTTCTTAAAGGTCTTGTCTTCCTCACCAGACTATAATAAATGGAGCCGCCCCCAATGGAGTAGATGTGGTGCAAAGTCCTGAGCTCCCTTGACTTCATCCTTGTTCAAGGTTGCTGAAGTGTTCATGAAACAGATGGAAGCTTGGATTATTGATGTCCAAGGGTCCTTTTAGTAGTTACTCTTGGAGTTTGAGTTGTTTAACATCAGGGACATGTCTTACACTTCCTCCTTCTTCCCAAAGCTAAGTAGGCACACTCAAGGATGTAATGTTCTGCAGTCTTGTTTTCTTGAAGAATCTTAGTACTCTTGATCCCTGTCAATGGCTTTCCTTCCTGCAGGGGAATTTAGTAGGATGTGTACCATGGTTGGGGATGGTAACCCCCACACCCATCACACTATGACCTAGAGTAAGCTTATTACAAATATTTAATGAACTAGCACTGCCATAAGCAATGTTTCACTGCATCATTTCATGTCCAGTGGGAACAAATTAGGAAAGGGAAGAGTCTCCTCCAAATTTAAGCCTGAATTTGCAGGAAGAAGTTGAGGGAAAAGAGCTATTGCTGAAAAAGAGATTCCTTAGTTTCCACAAAGAAAGTGCTTTTCCTGAAAATTATATTTCCCTTCCTTACAACTGCCACACTGGGGTAAAGAGAGGGTCCTGTGAATTTAGGACAATGTTAGTCTTTAGTGACCTTATTGGAAACTCTATTCACATTAAATTGTGAAATAGTTTCTTTACACAGTGCACTTCTAATTTCTGCCAGTTGCTTGTCTCTCTTAAATCAATTACTTTGCCTGTAGTATTACTGAATCTCAGGTAGCTGCACTTAATCTCATTATGGTCTGGCCTTTTTATACCAGTTTGCCTTAATGCTGAAACAACCTTCACCTTTAAAAACCACCTACCCCCTCCTTCCAGGTTGGAGGAGGGGGTGGGGGGTGATGGTAGGCAAGAAAGGAGGGGAGGAAATCAGTTAATTGCAGGCTGTCAGAGTTGTTTTAGGTGACTTTGTATTTCTTGAATTTAAGCTCAACATGAACTATAGACATGTCAGGCTGGGAATTTAAATAGCAACAAAAAAGCATAGGTTTTGCTAATGCCAGCAATGACTCATCTGGTGAGAATGGTATTGTATTGATAATACAATACAGAGAGAAGGAAAAGACTGTGGTATCTGCTCTCTTTGTGTTTCTGACCTTGACGAGAATTATAACTTGTTTGTTGCAGAAGTTGAGCATCTAATGTGCTGATGCACCTGTTAGTCTTATATGTTGAATGAAACCACTTGCAGTTGCCTGTGGTTGCTCTGTGGGTGAAATATTTTCTGCAATCTGGTGAACTGGTTTTCTTTTTGTGAAGAATGTGCTTGTATATGTCGCATCTCTTATTTTTCAAAAATATGTTTTATCATTCTACTTTAATGCCCTTGTGTCATTACATCTTGGAATATGTTTGGCTTTCATTTTTAAGGTAACATCATTATGATTTGTTTTTAATATAGAGACCTTGAACCAGGCAACTCCTGCTAAAAAGCTAGAAGAAGTTCTTCATCTAGCAGAGCTCTGCATAGAAGTCTTACAGCAAAATGAAGAGCATCACGCAGAGGTGATGGCCTGCTTTAACTACTATAGAATGCTACATGTGATACTTTGCAATAGCTGGAACAAGACTGAAGAAGTAGCCTTCCCATAGACTTTGATACACACTTGCCATTTACCTGTAGAAAACTGAGAACATGTGCAGTGCCTGAAAATACAACTCCTATATGTTACAAAGGAATGGCATATTCTCTCTCTCTCTCTCTCTCTCTCTCTCTAATATCTGCTCCTGGCAACAGTCATGTTGCAGGGAACGTGGGAGAGCCCATGGGATATGCGAATGATCTACAACTAGTAAAAAGCAAAGCTGGAATACAAACTCCACCTTGTGATACCAGATCACTTGTGTTTCCCCCAGGTCGTGATTGCTTTAGTTTAGAAATGTCAGTCAGTGTACAAAAGAAAAACTAGTGATAAACTGTAAGATAACTTCAAATGGAAGATATTCATGACTCTAGGCTTTTGCTCTTACCATCAAACCTTTCTTTCCATTTTCACTAAACTTGGCATTGTTTATAGTTTTCAGATATTCTAGGTATGTATTAGCATTCACTAAAGATATGGAGTGGTGATTTACCAGGCAAACTGCTTATTCTAAGACTTAAAGGTATCACTCTTTCTAGTAGTCATGAGTTTATTTTATTTTTTTAAAGAGTTTTCTGACTTGGATTTGAATGGGGAAATATGTGGAATTAAATAAATGTATTAACTTTTAATGCCCTAATAATGCTGTTATTTTTGAGGAAGCACATGAAATGAGTAGGAATAAAAGAAAACCAGATACGTAAGAATTTATAGAGTATTTATATGTAATGAAGCCTAGTTCTTCAAAATGTAAGAAACTACATGCAGTATATTTGAAGCAAAACCTTACCATGGGTAACTGAGATTCCTTGTATCTGGTTATAAATATGATCATTCAAAACATCTGCTTTTAGCTCACACAGTGGAATCTAGTTTTTACCTTGCATCTGTCATGTGTGAACTTGTTATGGATATTTTATTTTAAACTGAAGAAACAGCTGCTTCAATCATTTGAAATTAATTCCCAGGAGGATCTTTTCTAGGCAAGTACTACTACTATGTTACAATGAATATGATTATATGATAAAATATAGGTATGTGTTGTCTTTGTCTTTTGTTAAAAGGCATTATCATTAGAGCATTAGACCTTTTAGAATTTAAAAAAATTCTGATTTGATATCCAATTGCAGTATATTTCACCTAAACAGTACATCTAATATTCTCACACATTTCACAAAAAAACACATTTAATTTTCTTGCATTAATAAAAATAATAACAACCTTTTTTCAAAATGTAGTGTTATATACTACACACAATCAGTACACGCTTGCTAAAATATAATGTATCCAAACACAATTAAAATGTAAATATTGTTTATTTTCTAATCTGAAAAATTGAGTTTATTGAACAAAGATAATCATAACTCATAAATATCAGTCTGCTATATGCTGAAATATAGAACTATTATAATGATCTCTTTTAAAGATACTTTGTAACACTGTCATTTTTTCATTCCACAATGCCTCCAAATTTTTGGAATCCCCCAGGGAAGAGAGGTACGTAAAATTGTCTCCACTATTTTCCTAACATGGAATAAAAAACTTAGTGAAGATAAGATTGACCCCACTTTGATAACAGTTCATTTTAAAGCCAACTGAGTTCCTCTCCTTAGAATAAAGGCTAATCTTTACTGTAGTGTTTCTGAGACTATGTCTCATTAATAATTACATGCGCAGCTATAGCCGACCATCTAAGTAAAGGCCAGCTGAGAGGATTTTAATGTTTTGGTTTTATTTTTTTGTTTGTTTGGGTGTTTTTTGTTTGTTTTTTGTTTGTTTGTTTGTTTGTTTTAATTTTTCTTTTTTTAACCAGAAGGTCCAACATATTGGGGAGTACATTGGTCTGATTCCAAAATCATATACAATGAATTCATTGTAATTGCATAGTATTTATAATCTGGATAGCCAGTGAGTTAAACCAAGATTTTTTAAGGGTGGGTGGGTTTTGGTTAAGGGTTAGATTAGCCTCTGGTGCAACAGATGTTCCTCATTTTGGAAGAAGGTAACCAGCAAGTGGCTTTCAGATGACTAACTTACAAAGGCAGGATTCCATCTGCAGCATTAACTGTCCAAAAAAATTACATGGGCAAAAATACCCTCCCAAAAATGTGTGTTCATAATTTACTAAATTGTAAATATATAGTAATAAGAGTAGTAGTTGACCCTGACATATGTTTTAAATTATTTTCAGTTTATCATTTCATTTGGTTATTTCAATATTTGTATTCAGGTATAATTCAATTCAGGAGAGATTTTGATGAATCAAAAGAGTTGTAAAAATTGTCTGATTAGGTGGACTGTAGTTTAGTCGTCACCTGAAGGTTCTAGTACATTCTACTGGACTAGCAGCATACATGTTTTTAGAATAAATATTTCTAGAATATAGCCCCTCAGCATCATGTTGTGTTGGGGGTGGGGGTGTACCTTAGACAAAGACTGTCTCTAGAGCTTTCAGCATCATCTACAAAATATAGAAAAAAACGTGGGAAAAAATAAGCACATAATACATTTCAAAATCAGGTTCACTGTTTTGGTTCATTTATGTAGGCATCTTCCTTTTTTGTTTTAAAATTTTGTGTGTTTTTTTTTATCCTCACCCAAGGACATTTTTCCATATTTTGTTCAGATAGAGTGGGAAGGGGAGAGAGAGAGAGAGAAACATCGAAGCAAAAGGGACACATCAAGTGGTTGCCACCCACACGACCCAACCAGGGCTGGGGACAAACTGCAACCGAGGTACGTGCCCTTAGCGGGAACAAAACCCAGATCTCTCTGGACCACAGGTCAACGCTCTAACCGCTGAGCCAAACCGGCCAGGGCATTTTGTTTTAAATTATAAATTTAACTGTATTTTAAAAATAAAAGTAATAAAAAGCCTCAGATCTCAAGGAAATTAGAAAAGACACACAAAAATATTATACCATAACAGATGCTCTGACATGAAAAAATCAGAGTACATTACCATTGGTCTGATGAACAAGACATAGATAGGTAGGTAGGTAGGTAGGTAGGTAGGTGGATGGATGGATGGATGCATGCATGCATGCATGCATACAGGGTAGGGCAAAAGTAGGTTTACAGTTGTGAGTGTGTGAAACAGTTTATTTTTGTATTATTATTAATTTTTATGTAAATAACTGTAAACCTACTTCTGCCATACCCTGTATATAGTAATTAAGAAAAGGCTATATGTGTAAGAGCTTGGTCTCTGCACTCCAGTTGGCCTGGATTCAAATAATTGCTCTGTTACCTATCAACTACATAACTTTGGGCAAGTTATTGAATCTCTCTGAATTTGATAACATAAAATAAGGAGAATTATACCATCTACCTGAAAAGGTTATGTGGAGGATTAAGATAACAGATACAAAGCCTTTAGAACCGCACTTGGTACATAGAAACTAGTAATGGTTGAACATTACTATTTTTAAAATGTTCAGGTTGAACATTACTATTTTTAAAACATTACTATTTTAAAATATAAGATATGCATGAATTGCAACTCATTTTTTATATTATTGATAATGTTTAGTTTTGAGGTTTTTGTTTTTTACTTTTGTATAGCAAGAGATTTTCATAGTCATTGAATTTTCACAACTCTGGGAAGGTTAAGGCAAGTATTGTTACTGCCAACTTGCAGGTGAGGTAACGGACGTCCTCCCTGGGGACCGATTTGCCCATGATCACTCACATCTCATCACCAAGTTCAGAAACTTAGTACTCTGCTCCGTTTCAAGGTTCATTCTTACCTGCCACTGTTTTCACCCACATTCAGTAAACACAGCTTTCAAAGTATTGTCAGCCTAGCCTGCCTCATAAAGTATTTATTTGTTATTAGAAGCTTGATAGAAATGGCATGGCTAAAAAATTACAATCAAATGTTGTTTTGTATTTTGCTCTCAATCAAATTAAGCATTGGCCTCTGTCATCTCATTTACACAAATGAGGGACTTAGCATTACAGCCAAGATAACTTTCACCCAGATGATCATGACTATCGATCTGTGCCCTGCGTATGGATGCATTTCTGAGAGGGATTTTCCCCTCCCTGGTGGAGACCCATGCTGTGGAGCCCCAAGCATCGTCATGAAGGTGAATTCTAGGGAGGAAATTAGACAACCCCTCTTCTTATTACCAACCCTTGGATGACTGCCACCCGAGGGCAGTAGCAAAAGAGAGGAGGGGATAGGTATAGAATTGACCCTCTGTTGTCAAAACACCTGTGGCTCTTGAGTTTTATTTTCAGACAGTGATTGCTTAAAGCTTTCTCTAGTCATCATTAGAACAATAATCATCAGAGATTGCTTTACATTAATCAGGGATAGCATGATCAGGAATGCTGTTTGAGGCATCTATAAGTACTTCTGAAAAACAGGATGAAAATTTCGAGTTGAAAATATCTTGCCACCCTATAGCTACTTTTTTAAAGAAAGTTATGTTTCATTTCCCACCACCACGGCATTGTCTTCCGAGTTAACTTTTAAAAGAGCTCTGGAAATTTTTCTCAGAGTCTTGAGACAATCCTGCCTTAACATGATGGTTATTTTCTTAGTTTTAGTCTTTTGCAAAGGTATTGGTTGTGAGTTGGAAGTGAGACTCTGTAAGTGTCTCTCCATGTAGTACTGATTTTTGCTAGAGTTTTTATCCTGCTCTACCCAGAGTAAAGACTTTTAGATTCCTTTGTGTGGCATCACTACAGTTTTAAAAGATAGGACAAGCTATATGTAATGAAACTGTGTGTGCTATTTTATTTTTTTTTCCTTTTATATTATATCATATACTCATTCTCATAGATATTTACATAAAAAGTATTCTAAGATAATATTTTCAAAGAGCAATAGCTCAATATAGAGTATAATTTCCAACAGTTTAACTTATAAACATAGGGTCAATCATTAAAATGTCCCTTTCAAGTTTATTATTTGTATTGCATTCTGTTTTTCTCTCTCCCCGTCTCTTCCCCCCGCCCCCTCCTTTTCACTGTCTCTAAAAATTAGTGGAAAATACATCCTTGGGTGAGGATTAACAAACAAACAACAAAAAAAAAGAAATACATGAGTGTCTTGTTTATTCTCCACACATTTGTGAATTTTCCTGTTTTTCTTTTGTTATTGATTTCTAATTTCATTTCATTGTTGTTGGAAAAGATAGTTGAGATGATTTCAGTCTTCTTAAATGTGTTAAGACATTTTTTGTGACTTAGCACATAATCTGTCCTGGAAAATGTTCTGTGTGTGCTTGAGAAGAATGTGTTGTGTGCTGCTGACAGGTGAAAGATTCTGTGTATGCCTGTTAGGCCATTATAGTACTATAGTACTATTTCATTATAGCATTATTCAATTCATTAATTTTTTGTCCAGATGATCTGTCTATTATTAAAAGTGCAGTATTAAAGTTTCATATTGTAATTTTATTACTAATTCTCTCTTTAGATTTGTCAATGTTTACTTTATATACTAGGTGCTCTAATGTTGGGTGTATATATATTTTTTAATTATTCTCTCTTCCTGGTAAATTGGCCCTTTTATCATTATGTAATGAACTTCTTTGTCTCTTGTGACAGTTTTTTACTAGTTACTACTTTTGTTTGATGTAAATATAGCCATCTTTGCTCTTTGGGTTATCATTTTCATGGAATATCTTTGATATCCATGATATTCCCTCCATTCTCAGCCTATGTGTGTCCTTAAATCTAAAGTGGGTCTCTTGTAAGCAATATAGTTGTATCTTGTTGCTTTATCTACTCAGTCTTTGTCTTTTGATTGGGGAGTTTAATTAATTTCTATTTAAAGTGAATATTATTAATGGATAATAAGACTTCTCAACTCCAGAGCTTTGAACAGACTATTTTAAACTGTTAACATCTTCAGTTCAATCATATACAAGGCCCTACACTTTTATTTTTTCTCACATATTATGTTATTGATGTGAAAATTTATTTCTTGTGTACTGCGTATTCATTAACAACTTTTTGTGGTAGTAGTAATTATTAAAACTTTTTTTAGATTTTATATTAGGGTTAAAATAATGAATGTACCACCGTTACAATATTACATTACTATTTATTTGTCTATATATTTACCTTTACCAGTGAGAGTTATACTTTCATATACATTTGTGTTTCTGTGTACGTTTGTATCGTTTTGTTTCAGTTTGAAGATTTCCCTTTAGCACTTTTTGGAAGGCAGACCTACTGGTGACAAACTTGCTCAGTTTTTGCTTTTCTGGGAAAGACTTTACCTCTCCTTTATTTTTTAAAAATTAAATTTATTGGGGTGACATTGGTTAATAGGGTCATACAGGTCACAAGTGTACATTACTATGATACATGATTTGCATATTGCATTGTATACCCACCACCCATAGTCAAATCATCTTTTGTCACCATATATTTGGCCCCCTTTACCCTCTACCATCCCCCACCCCTTCCCTCTGAATCTCTATACTGTTGTCAGTCTGTGTCTCTGAGTTTCACTTTTATATCTCACATATGAGTGAAATCATGTAATTCTTAGATTTTTCTGACCGACTTATTTCACTTAGCATAATATTCTCAACGTCCATTCATGTTGTCTAAAATGGCAGTATTTTGTCTTATGACTAACTAGTATTCCATTGTATATATGTACCACATCATCTTCATCCAGTCCTCTATCAAAGGGCACTTTGGTTGTCTCCTTGTCTAAAGGACTGTTGTGCTGACAATTTTGTTTCATTTTTAAATGATAGTATTCTTGGTTGGCAGGTTTTTCTTCAGCATTTTATATATATTTTACCCCTATTTCCAAGCCACCAAGATTTCTGCTGAGAAATCTACTCATAGCCTTATGGGGTAGGAGGGTCCTTTGTCTATAATGAGTCACTTTTCCCTGCTATTTTCAAATTTTTCTCTTTGTCTTTGACTTCTGACAATTTAATTATAATGTATCTCAGTATAGACCTCTTAAGGTCTAGTTATTCGGTATCGTTTGGACTTCATGAACCTGGGTGTCCATCTTCCTATCCAGATTTGGGATGTTTTAAACCACTGTTTATTTAAATAAGCTTGCTGCCCCTTTCTTTTTGTCTTCTCTTTCTGGGACTAACATAACAGATATCATTTGTTTGCTTAGAGATGTCCTATAAGTCCCATAGGCTTTATTCACTCTTTTTTATTCTTTTTGTTACTCTGATTGGATAACTTCAAATTACTTGTTTAAAAGTTCATTGATTCTTTATCTGCTGTTGAAGTTCCCTGTTGAATTTTGTAGTCATTGTATTCCTCAGCTCCAGTATATTTGTTTGATTTTTCTCTATAGTTTTGTCTGTGGAATTTCTTATTTTATTCCTGTATTGATTTTCTGATATTATTTAGTTGTCTATCTGTGTTCTCTCGTAGCTCATTGAGCTTAAGATGAGTTTGTTAACTCTTTCAGGCAGTAGGTTCGTAGCACTCCATTTCTTTGGGGTTGGTTACTGAAACTTCATTTTGTTCCTTTGTTGGTGTCATGTTCTTTGATTGTTCATGATCCTTGTAGCCTTGCATTGGTGTCTGCCCATTGGAAAAAGCAGTCACCTCTTCCATTCTTTACATGCTGGCTTCTACAGGGAAAGCTCTTCAACAGTCAGCCCAGCCAGAGTTCCTGGGTGGGCCGGCTGGCAGGGACCACAGACAAGCAGGCCTGCTGCCGGGGTCTGCAGGTTGGTTCACCTGCTGCCAGTAGTCATGGGCAGGCAAGCCTGGCGCTGTGGTTTATAATCAGGCCACATTATTTTCAAGAACTTTCTAAAAAGTAAATATTATTTGTAACCATCTAGACAGAAATTTTAAAAGTGATTATTGCCATTACCTAAAAGGCATTAGAAAATGCCTAATTGAATATAAAGAGGCAGACATTAAAATATTCACTGTGTAGTTATATGTGCAATACTAAGATCTGTGAAATAAGAATACTGGATATCATCAGGGAGATTATTTAGGGGAACCTAATTCACAATGGAGGGTCAGGAGATCTGTATGAAAGTGAGTTTTAGCTTTACACCTTAGATTTATAAAAAATGCACTACAAATAAAAAGGCAGTAATTTTTACATCTGAGGAGAAATTTTATAGATACACTTTTAAATAATAAGCAAACTTGGCATTGATAAATAAAATGTGAAATCTAAAATAGAAATTAAAATGTAAAATGGCAGTCATTGCTTTATTTAAAAAATACATGTTTAATTTAGAACATTTGAAAAATATATAAAACACAAATGAAATTCCTTTGTCAAAATTTAAATATAACTGCTATAGGGGTTTTGGTGTATTTTCAATATTTCTTTTTTTCTGCGAAAATAAGTATTAAAACATTTGGTTTCATACTCTACCACATTCTACTGCAACTGCACTTTTAATGACGTGTATTCAAGCAGCACAGTATTTGTGTATGTTTCTAACAAGTAATTTCTTTTTACAATATTTCCTTATCCTTTAACAGGCATTTGCCTGGTGGCCAGATTTACTGGCGGAGCATGCAGAGAAGTTTTGGGCTTTATTCACAGTGGATATGGATACTGCACTAGAGGCTCAGCCACAAGACTCCTGGGATAGTTTTCCTCTTTTCCAATTGCTTAATAATTTCCTCAGAAATGACGGTAAGCACTTGCATTTGCTTTAATATAACAAATGGGGAGGGGTGGAAGAATGTTGCATTTGCAAAAGTGTATTTACAGAGCTCTTGAGCTGCTCAACAAGTTAATAGATAACATTAATGCTTTCTCTTCCTCCCTGAATATATTAGGCCAGGGTCTGGGGAGACCAGCAACACTCCCACCTTGTTCCACTGGCCCCTGGAGTTCCTCTTATTCCTCCTCTCCCAGCTTTTTCGAGGACGGATGACATAGACATCCTTCTCATTGTACCTTGTGAATTAGAAAATCTTCAAAGGTTAACATTTCTAAAGCACTTGAGAATACTTAGATCTCTGAAAGACACCTTAGAAATTTATCATGATTCTGGAAGTCATATTATATTAAAGCTTCTCTAATATTCATTGTGATAGTATTGTTTTCTGAAAGAAATTCTAAAGATGATAGTATAATATTGCTCTATGGTATAGCTTGGTCTCTTAGTATTTAGAAATTAAATAGATCATAAGGTTCTCTATTGAGATAACTTTTTTCCAAAGCAATATAAGGTTGACAATTATTTTGGTACATGGTCTTCTAACAAGCAGTACAAACCTAGTTTTCCATCGTAATTTTAGGGGGACATTTTATTTTAATTCTAACCCAAGGACATGTTTTTATTGATTTTTAGAGAGAGAGAAAGCAAAGAGAGAGAAAAAAATCAATGTGACAGAAAAACATTGATCAGTTGCCTCCCGTATGTGCCCTGACAAGGGATCAAACTCACAACCTAGGTATGAGCCCTGAATGGGAACCAAACCTGCAGCCTTTTGGTGTACCCGCCAATGTTCCAACCAATTGAGCCCTTGGCCAGGTTAGGGGGACATTCTGTTTTTTTGGTTTTTTTTGCTATTTTTTTTAATTAATTAATTTTTCTTACAGATATTTCTCCTTTTTCCCCCACTGATCCCCCCCCCCCGCCCTTTCCCCAGTTTGTTGTCTACATCCACTGTTCACGCATACATGCATATAAGTTCTGTGGTTTATCTCTCCCCCACCCACCCTCCTCTTCTGGAGATTGTCAGTCTGTACCCTACTTCCACATCTCTGGGACTACATTCCTCAGACTGTTATATTCATTATATTCCACAAATAAGTGAGATCATATGAAACTTGTCCTTCTCTGTTTGGCTTCTTTCACTTAGGATGATACTTTCCAGGTCCCTCCATGTCGTCTCAAAGGATAAGAGATCTTTCTTTCTTACAGCTGCGTAGTACTCCATTGTGTATATGTACCACAGCTTTTTTATCCATTCGTCTACTGATGGACACTTCGGTTGTTTCCAGATCTTAGCTATTGTAAATAGTGCTACTACAAACATGGGGGTACATATATTCTTTGTGATTGGTGTTTCGGGCTTCTTAGGGTATATTCCTAGAAGTGGAATCACTGGGTCAAATGGAAGTTCGATTTTTAATTTTTTGAGGTAGCACCATATTGTTTTCCATAGTGGCTGCACCAGTCTGCATTCCCACCAGCAGTGCACTAGAGTCCCCTTTTCTCCACACCCTCGCCAACACTTGTTGTTTGATGATTTGTTGATGGGGGCCATTTTGACAGGTGTGAGGTAATACCTCATTGTTGTTTTAATTTGCATCTCTCTGATGATTAGTGATGATGAGCATTTCTTCATATGTTTCTTAGCCATTTTTATGTCCTGTTTGGAGAGGTGTCTATTCAGTTCCTCTGCCCATTTTTGAATTGGATTCTTTGTCTTCCTTTTCTGGAGCTGTATGAGCACTCTATATGTATTGGAAATTAATCCCTTATCTGATATATCATTGGCAATTATGCTCTCCCATACAGTGGGTAGCCTTTCCATTTTGATGATTGTATCTTTGTGCAGAAGCTTTTGAGTTTGATGTAGTCCCATGTGTTCATTTTCTCCTTTATTCTATTGCCTTAGGTGATGTGTCAGTAAAAATTCTGCTGCGTATACTGTCTGAAATTTTGTTGCCTACAGTCTCTTCTAGGATTTCTATGGATTCATGAGTCACATTTAAGTCTTTTATCCATTTTGAGTTTATTCTTGTGTAAGGTGTAAGTTGATGGTCTAGTTTCATTTTTCTGCAAGTAGCTGTCCAATATTCCCAGCACCATTTATTAAAGAGGCTGTCCTTACTCCACTGTATGTTCTTGCCACCTTTGTCAAATATTAATTGAGCATATTGCCTTGGGTCCATTTCTGGGTTCTCTGTTCTGTTCCACTGGTCTATATGCCTGTTCTATGCTAGTACCAGGCTGTTTTGATTACAATGGCTTTGTAGTATAACCTGAAATCTGGTATTGTGATCCCTCCAACTTTGTTCTTCCTTTTCAAGATTGCTGTGGCTATTCGAGGCTTTTTTGGTTCCATAGGAACTTTTGAAGTAATTGTTCTAATTCTGTGAAGTATGCCATTGGTATTTTCATGGGGATTGCGTTGAATCTACAGATTGCTTTGGGTAATATGGACATTTTAATGATGTTAATTCTCCCAATCCATGAACAGGGTATGTGCTTCCACTTTTTTATATCTTCCTCTATTTCTTTTTTCAATGACCCGTAGTTTTCTGTGAATAGGTTCTATATTTATTTAGTTAAGTTTATCCCTAGGTATCTTAATTTTTTTTGCTGCAGTGGTAAATGGGATTGTTTTCTTAGTTTCTGTTTCTGTGAGTTCATCATTGGTGTATAAGAATGCCATCGATTTCTTGACGTTAATTTTGTATCCTGCTACTTTGCCAAATTCATTTATTAAGTCTACTAAACTTTGATGGAGTCTTTGGGGTTTTCTATGTATAGTATCATGTCATGTGCAAATAATGACAATTTCACTTCCTCCTTTCCAATTTGGATCCCTTTTATTTTTTTCTTCCTGTCTGATTGCTGTGGCTAAGACTTCCAATACTCTGTTAAATAAGAGTGGTGAAAGTGGGCATCCTCGCCTTGTTCCTGTTCTTAAGGGAAATACTTTTAGTTTTTGCCCATTGAGTATGATGTTGGCTGTAAGTCTTTCATATATGGCCTTTATTATGTCTAGATATGATCACTCTGTTCCCACACTGCTGGAATGGATGCTGAATTTTGTTGAAGGTTTTTCGGCATCTATTGATATGATCATGTGGTTTTTATTCTTCTTTTTGTTTATGTGGTGTATCACATTTATGGATTTGCGAATATTGTACCAGCCTTGCATCCCTGGGATGAATCCCACTTGGTCATGGTGGATAATTTTTTTGGTGTATTGCTGGATCTGATTTGCTAGTATTTTTTTCAGGATTTTGGCATCTATGTTCATCAGGGATATTGGCCTGTAGTTTGCTTTCTTTGTTGTGTCTTTTTCTGGTTTTGGAATTAGAATTATGCTGGCTTCATAAAACGAGTTTGGAAGTTTTCCTTCTTCTTGAATTTTTTGAAATAGTTTGAGGAGAATGGATATTAGTTCTTCTTTGAATGTTTGGTAAAACTCCCCTGTGAAGCCATCTGGGCCTGGGCTTTTGTTTGCTGGGAGAGTCTTGATTACATCTTCAATTTCTTCTATTGTTATTGGTCTGTTCAAGTTTTCTATCTCTTCCTGATCCAGTTTTGGGAAACTATGTGTTTTTAGAAATTTGTCCATTTTGCTTAGATTGTCGAATTTGTTGCCATATAATTGTTCATAGTAGTTGTTAACAATCTTTTGTATTTCTGTGGTGTCAGTTGTTACCTCTCCTCTCTTATTTCTGATTTTGTGTATTTGGGTTCTCTCTCTTTGTTTCTTGGTCAGTCTAGTTAAGGGCCCATCAATCTTGTTTATCTTTTGGAAAAACCAGCTCTTTGTTTTATTGGTCCTTTGAATTGTTTTTTTTTTTGGTCTCTATGTCATTTATTTCTGCTCTGATCTTTACTATTTCCTTCCTTTTACTTGCTCTTGGGTTTTCTTTTTGTTTGCTCTCTAGTTCTTTACGTTGTGAGGTTAGATAATCTATTAGAGATTTTAATTGTTTTTTGAGGTAGGCCTGTAGTGCTATGAACTTCCCTCTCAGAACTGCTTTCGCTGCATCCCATAGATTTTGTGTTGTTGTGTCTTCATTTTCATTGGTTTCCAGGAAGTTTTTGATTTCTTCCTTGATCTCCTCGGTGACCCATTCATTGTTTTATAACATGCTATTTAGCTTTCATGTGTTCAAATATCTTTGTGTGTTCTTGCAATTGATTTCTAGTTTCATGCCATTGTGATCGGAGAAGATGCTTGATATGATTTCAGTCTTTGAACTTGTAGAGACTTAGTTTGTGCCCTAACATGTGGTCTATCGTTGAGTATGTCCCAGGTGCACTTGACAAGAATGTGAATTTTGTAGTTTTGGGGTGTAATTCTCTGTAGATATCTATTAAATCCATTTGGTCTAGTGCTTCATTTAGAGTCTCTGTTTACTTTCTTTGCTAATTTTTTGTGTAGAGGATCTATCCAGTAATATCAGCGGGGTGTTGAAGTCCCCTGCTATGATTGTATTGCTATAGATTTCTCCTTTGAAGTCCTCCAGAAGTTTTCAATATATTTTGGTGCTCCTATATTGGGTGCATATATGTTTATCAAGGTTATATCTTCCTGTTGGATAGATACTTTCAATATTATGTAGTGGCCTTCTTTGTCTCTAGTTATGGTCTTCATTCTGAAATCTATTTTAGCAGATATGAGTATTGCTACCACAGCTTTTTTTTCTTTTCCATTTGCTTGGAAGATTTTTTTCCATCCCTTCACTTTCCATCTATGTGAGTCTTTTGTTGTGAGGTGGGTCTCTTGTAAACAACATATAGATGAGTCATGCTTTCTTATCCAATCAGCTACTCTGTGTCTTTTTATGGGAGCATTCAGTCCATTTACATTTAAGGTGATTATTGATATGTACTTATTTATTGCCATTTTGGTTTAGTGTGGTTATATTTTTCTTCCCATTTCTCCTGCTAATTACAGCAGTCCTTTTAACATTTCTTGCAGTGCTGG